CGAAAGGCTACTCAGATTTTACCCTCACAGTTTGTCCCAAAAATACACCTTCAACCTCTTTGTGGCATTTACACAAACACGTAGCAGGCATAATTGTTCCTATCTACCCACAAGAAACTTTTAGCCTTAGCTAAACTAAGGAAACAATAATTTCACTCCTAACAATCAGATGGTCAGTCTCCCTTGGTGAGACTCAACCTCTACCTCACAAGTAACAGAGATAAACAAAGAAACAAACAAAAAACAAATACATGCCACAATACTTTCTACAATTAGCCAAGAAGAAAAAGAAAACAAGGGACATACCTGAAGAGTCTCTGATAAAGAGTGCCTTTGAGGAAGGGAATGGGAGTAAGTGGGGTGTTGAACTTGTTGTTGTTGTTGCATAGAGGAAAGGAAAGAGGGAGGGGGCGAAATAAAAGGGGGGAAATTACTTACCTGTGCGCGGCCATATGCGCGGTCAGGTCCTCGCGTGCACGGTCGCGCATATGAGTTAGTGTGCTGGTGAATGTGCACGGTCAGACGTGTAGTCGCGCACGGATACATTATTATAAAGGGGCCTTTTGGCACCCCAGTCCCTACCGTACGCAACATGTGCCTTCACTTACCTACTAAGTCATAATATATACTAATTTCTATCTATTCTACACTATAAATAAAGGTGAAAAATTACTCTGGTAGAACAGTTAGAGGTAGTTCTGAGTTATAATCGTCAACTTGATTTAACTGGGCATCTCAACTGATTTGGATGCTCGAGGATTGCTGAGCAAATCCTCCAGCAAGATAGGATTTAAGCTTGTGCCCATTTACTTTGAAACTTTCTGTTCCGTCCATGTTCTGAATCTCAATTGCTCCATATGGTGATACATGTTTCACCACATAAGGTCCCATCCATCTAGACTTAAATTTTGTGTGGAACAATCTGAGTCTACTATTGTATAGTAGGACTATGTCCCCTTCATGAAACTCCTTTGGCTTAATCAGACTATCATGCCACCTCTTAGTCCAAAAATAACTTTTTACCTCACCTTGAAGCTTCCTTCTCTGATCACGATTGAGGTCACTCGGTAACCATCCGCTAGCTAAAAATATTAGCTACATCAGCATACCAAGGCGATCTTTCAGAGACCACATCAATGGAGAAAATCTGCTCATTAGGGAACTCTTCTCTCACGCCAACTGTTTCAACCAGAGGTCTCTCAAGTCGAGATAGATGATCGCCGACTTGATTTTCTGTGCCCTTACTATCTTTGATCTCTAATTCAAACTCTTGGAGCAACAACACCCACCGCATCAGACTCATCTTGGACTCCTTCTTACTCAACAGATATTTCAAGGCGGAATGATCCATGTGTACAATCATTTTGCTCTCCACCAGGTATGGTCTAAACTGGTCAAAAGCAAAAACCACAGCAAAGAACTCTTTCTCAGTAGTAACATAGTTGACTTGAGCATCATTCAATGTTTTGCTGGCATAGTAAATAGGCCTAAACATTTTATCTTTTCTTTGCCCCAGAACTGCCCCCACAGCTATATCACTAGCATCACACATTATCTCAAATGGCTAGCTCCAATCAGGTGTCACCATAATAAGAGCACTGATCGGCTTTTCATTTATCAATTCGAATGCTCTTAAGCACTCCACATTGAAAACAAACTTGACATCCTTTGCTAGCAATGCAGTCAACGGTTTGGTAATGCTAGAGAAGTTTTTGATGAACCTCCTATAGAATCCAGCATGTCCCAAAAAACTCCTTATGCTCTTCACAAAAATTGGTGGAGGGAGCCTAGAAATTACATCCACCTTGGCTCTATCAACTTCAACTCCATGTGCAGTTACTTTGTGGCCCAAGACAAATCCTTCTTTCACCATGAAGTGATATTTCTCCTAGTTAAGAACCAAGTGTGTGGCTTTAAAACGTTCAAGCATGAGCTCTAAGTTCTTTACACAGTCTTTAAAGTCATCATCAAAGAGGGTGAAATCATCTATGAATACTTCTAGACACTTCCCATTTAAGTTAGAGAATATAGACATCATGCACCTCTGAAAAGTGGCAAATGCATTACACAACCCAAATGACATCCTCCTGTAAGCAAAAATACATGATAGGCACGTGAATATGGTCTTATAAATATCTCCTGGGGCAATGGGTATATGATTGTAGCCTGAGTACCCATCCAAGAAGCAGTAGCATCCATGTCCAACCACTATCTCTAGCATTTGATCAATAAAGGGGAGTGGGAAGTGGTCCTTCCTTGTTGCATCATTCAGCCTTCTATAATCAATGCACATTCTCCACCCAGTGACTGTTCTTGTGGGAATCAAATCATTATCTTCTTTTCTCACCACTGTCATGCCGCCCTTCTTAGGTACAACTTGTACTTGACTAATCCACTGGCTATCAGAGATGGGAAAAATCACTCTCGCATCTAGCAATTTGATGATCTCCTTGTGCACTACTTCTTCCAAATTTTTGTTCAGCTTGCGTTTGGCTGCAAAACTATTTTTCTATTTTCTTCCAACAGAATTTTGTGCATGCAAATTGATGGACTGATTAATTGAATATCAGCTATACTCCAGCCAATGGCCTTCTTGTGCTTCTTCAGTAGCTCCACCAGCTGTCACTCATGTATACCTGTCAATCAACATAAATAATTACAGGAAAATTGTTAGTTTCAAGAAAAGCATATTTTAAGTGAGTGGGGAGGACTTTCAATTCCACATTAGGCTTAGAAGCCTCCTCTTTTAATTTCTCATCATTAACCATATGATCCTCCATTTCAAGTGTTTCAGTCTTTTTCTTTATTTTAGGATCTTCATCCTCCACTGTGCTAGACTGAGTAATACACCTCTCGAGAGTATCCCCCACAAGCTTATCAAACTTGTATTTTTTAGCCAATTCTCCAACCACATCTAGCTTGAAACATGAGTAGGTGGATGCCTCATCAGTGGGGTATTTCGTCATCCACTTCATCTGGAATACCACTTTTTCGTTACCCACTCTGAGCATAAGCTGCCCTTCATAGATATAAGGGATAGCTCTGCCTGTACACAAGAATAGCCTTACCAGAATTAGAGGAACTTCCTTGTTCACCTCCATATCCACCACAATAAATTCTGCGGGGAACATAAATTTGTTCACCCGTACTAGAATATCCTCAATAATTCCCTCATGCAAAATGGTGGTCTGGTCAACCAGTTGTGGAGATACTAGTATTGATTTAATCACTCCAAGATCACCTTCCAATTTCCTGAATACAAATAGAGGCATTAGATTTATAGACGCACCAAAATTACGGAGGGCCTTATCGAATTTTTCACTTGCCAACGAGCAAGGTATGGTGAAGCTTTCTGGGTCCCCACACTTTTGGAAAATTTTATTTTGTAATATGGCACTGCAGTGGGCATTTAACTTGATTCTCCTCAAGTTTTTTCTTGCTAGACAAGATTTCCTTCAAAAACTTAGCATAAGCAGGTATTTGAGTGAGTACCTCTGTGAAGGAAATATTCACATAGAGTTGCTTGAGCATTTCCAACAATCGCCCAAAACATTTGTCAAGTTTTTCCTGCTTCATCTTTTGAGGGAATGGCAGAGCTGGCATATGTCTACTTTTTTTAATCTCCTTTTGTACCCCACTATTCTCGTATTTCTGCTCTTTACCTTTTTTCTCTACTGGTGTCTCTGCCTGCTTGCTCACTACCTCGGGTCTAGCTTTCACCACTAGATCAGCCAATGTTTTACCACTTCTCAGAGATACAACTTTGATTGTTTCTTTTGGATTCTTTTCGGTGTCAGAGGGCAATGTCCTAGGAGTCCTCTCAAATAACAAATTTTCAATTTGTCCCAATTGTCTTTCTAAATTCCGGATGACCGTGCCCTGCTCTAGAATGGATGTGCCCTGAGTCTCAAATTTTTCATCTGATTTATTAATGAATGCCTTCATGAGATCTTCCACACTAGACTGATTTGGCTGTTGTGGCTGGTATTGCTACCTCTACTGGTTTTGAAAACCTAGTGGTCCTTGACCCTGGGGTCTGGGATTATTTTTCCTGCCATGAATTCAAGCTTCCATTAGTTAAACTCAACGAAAAACCTGGATGTCTTTGGCCAATAGCATTATAGGCATTACCACCTTGGCAGTTTCCTCTATTAAAGTTCCCCACTTCGTTGACTTCCTGAGGTGATGCTTGACACTCATGTGTAGGGTGTCCCAATCCACAGAAGTCACATGCTATTTGCGGCTCACTTTGTACCATGGCCAATGTCAGCTTTCTTATCTCCTTAGCTTTGGTGTCTAGCTGGGCTTGCATGGATGTGTTAGAGTCCACCTGGTGAACCCCATCTAATTTTCTTCTGTCATTACTTTCAGTCGGCCACTAATTAGCGTCCTCAGATAATTCATCAAGGATTAAAACAACCTCCTCCGGTGTTTTCTTCATTAGTGGACCTCCACATAAAATATTCAGAGTTCGTCGCGAGGACGGTGTTAGTCCATCCCAAATATCCTGGAGTTGCATCCACAAATCAATTCCAATGTGCTGACATTTTTTGACTATCTCCTTGAATCGTTTCCAAGCTTCAAAAATAGTTTCTGTCTAATTCTGGCAGAAATTATGGAATTCCTTTATGAACTTCCCTGTTTTTGTAGCTGAAAAGAACTTGTCAAGAAAATTCTTGGTCATATATTCTCATGTGCAGATAGAACCTTCGGGGTAAGCTACGAAGCCATTGCTCAGCATCATCTTTCAATAAAAAGGGGAATGCCCTTAAGTAGACAGCATCCTTTGATACTCCATTGTATTGAAAGGTGTTCATGATATTGTCAAAGTCCATCAAGTGAGTATTAGGATATTTGTTCATCTTCCCTCTGAAAGTGCAGTTGTTTTGGATAGTTTGAAGCAACCCTTGCTTCAATTCGAAGTTGTTTGCTGCTATGGGTGGGGGTCTGACACTTGACAGTCCTTGATTATATACTAGCCTAGCATAGTCACCCAATTATCATCCAGGTCGGGGTGCTGCATTCTCGAAATGGTCTTCAACCAAAGGTCGGTTTAGATTGAATCTTCGACCCCCATTGAGTTCGACTGTCTCATCAGCAATTCTCTGTGCAGCTTCTTGTTGTGCTGCCTCCCTTGCAGCTAAGTCTACTCCTTCATTGTCTTCATTTTCCATGATATCTTGAGTCCAAGTTCGACCCAAGAATTATTCTGTTAATTCTCTTTCTTTTCTCACATGTCGCAAGTGTTTCTCCAACTCTGGTTCACAGGGTATCACTTCCCTTGAAGAGGATCGAGTCAAACACCAGAGAAATAGAGTTGTATCCTACACACATGTGAGAAACCCGTGAAAAACAAATTAAAAGTAAAAATAAAAATAAATTTCTAAATTAGCACTATAAACTATTTCAAATACTATTGATTGCCAATTCCCCAGCAACGGCGCCAAAATTTAATGAGCGCAAAACACACATTTAAATTGTGCTCTCTAGTCAAATATAGTATAGTATAATATCATGTCTATAGGGATTGGATTTAAATAGTATTCTCATAGTTTCTAACTTAATTTCTATCCAGGAGGATCAACAATTGAGATTTATATGATTAATAATAAAATTTAACTAAGAATCTAAAATCTACAGCTATTGACTAGTGACTATCAAAATAAGGAATAAGCAATTAAGGTTATCAGTGGAAGAAGATAGGGTTTTGACAGAATAAGTGCAAGATAATTATTCGGGATCTAACTCTAGATAATTTACTTCCAATGTTCAAGTGAGTCTCTCGAATTCACTCTATTATTAGTACAAACATTCAACAAAAACTCCTCTCACGATTAAGTCTTAACCTCACGGGATGAACCAATTTAAGCACTGTGAAGATATGCAAGAATGCGTAGTGGATCGGTCTTTAGGAAAACCTCTTTCGATTATTCTCCTAACTAGATTTAATAAATAATTCAACTAGCCTTTTTCTATTACTTAGAAGAATCTATGAACTCAACCAACAATATAATGCAAAGATATCACAAGTTATGCCTCTTTCGATTACAAGAACAAGTGAATATAAATACAACAATGAAATCTTCCAAAACCGAATCAAATACATAAAAATAGAGTTATAATCCACAAACAATCATCAATACACCAAATCCACCAAAACCCAAAAGGATCTACTCCATAGACATGGAGAAGTTCTTCACAAATATAATTAAAGTATAAGAAAACATAAATTCAATCCAAATCCGGATCTTGAGTGAGGAAGGAATGATGAAATCCTTGTGCGTGTGTTCTTCCAACTCCTCCTTAGCCTCCTTGGCCTCCCTTTATGTTGAAATTGTGTCAAAAGTTCCCAGGTACCCTATTTTTAGACAAGCTAGGATTCATATAGATCAAAAGGAGTCATCTCCGAAATTACAAAAATAGGCCTGGGTGGAGTTCCGGAAGTGGACGTGTGTAGCCGTGCACCTGGAGGTGTTACCATGCATATTGACGCGCACCTCTGGCAGTGCACTGCCTTACTTGCGTGCTCAAGTGCACGCTGGAGGGGTCTCGTGCGCAGTCGCACACCTTGTTTAGCCTCCTTCTCCTTTTCGTTTCTCCCATTAAGTGCACTATTTGTCCGTTGAACCCCGAACACAATTCCGACTTAATCCTTGGGCTTTTACTCAGACGTCAAAGCTTCAAAATAGCTCACGTTAGCTCCACAACCTCTTCATAACTCGGAATTGCTCTTACAAGGCATAAAACACACACTTAGTGCAAAATAACACTAATTAAAGCTCAAACACTAGTAAAGTGTAGTAAATTATAGTGCAATTAGTGACTAAAATACTCAATTATAGCCTACCATCAACACCCCACACTTGAACCATTGCTCGTCCTCGAGCAATCAAACTACACTTCACATAAAATACGACATTTTTCGACAACTCTCATGACCCTTCACATCAAGACTCTTTAAAATAGACTAACAATAACAACAACAACCCAGTGAAATCCCATTAGTGGGGTCTGGGAAGGGTAGTATGTACGCAGACCTTACCCCTACCCCGAAGAGGTAGATAGGCTATTTCCGAAAGGCTCTCGGCTCAAGAGGACAAAAGGACAAAATAAGACAATATCAGTATCACCACAGAAATCATAGGAAAAATAGGAACAACATTAAATCCAGAAGAAAGATGCAAAGCAAAAACAAAAACGATAGCTAGTAAATAGGTCCGACACTGAAACGCAAAATAGTAAGACACGATATTGCCACTAGCTAGCTTAGACAAAAACTCTACCAGACTAGTCACACAACGGTATGAAATAAGGCAAGACTCAACTACCTCCTAACCTACAACCCTAATACTCGACCCCCACATCTCCCTATCAAGTGCCATGTCCTCGGAAATCTGAAGCCTCGCCATGTCCTGTCTGATCACCTCTCCCCAATACTTCTTCGGCCGTCCTCTACCTCTTCTCATGCCCACCACAACCAGCCGCTCACACCTCCTTACCGTGGCATCTGGGTTCCTCCTCTGTACATGCCCGAACTATTTGAGCCTCGCTTCTCGCATCTTGTCATCAATGGGAGCCACGCGCACCTTCTCCCGAATATCAACATTCCTGATCTTATCCATCCTAGTGTGCCCGCACATCCACCTCAACATCCTCATTTCCGCTACTCTCATCTTCTGGATATGTGAGTTCCTAACAGCCCAACACTCAGCCCCATACATCATGTCCGGTCTAACCACCGCTTTATAGAACTTACCTTTGAGTACCAGTGGCACTTTCTTGTCACACAGGACTCTAGATGCTAACCTCCACTTCATCCATCCTACCCCAATACGGTGTGTGACATCCTCGTCGATCTCCTTTCCCCCCTGGATAACCGACACAAGGTACTTGAAGCTTCCTCTACTTGGGATAACTTGTGAGTCAAGCCTCACATCCACGCCCACTTCCCCCGGCTCAGCGCTGAACTTATACTCCAGGTATTCCGTCTTCGTCCTGCTCAGCTTGAAACCCTTAGACTGAAGAGTCTGTCTTCAAACCTCCAGCCTCTCGTTAACACCGGCTCGCGTTTCATCAATCAAAACTATGTCATCAACGAATAGCATGCACCATGGCACCTCCCCTTGAATATGGTATGTTAACACGCCCAACACAAGGGCGAATAGGAACGGACTGAGCGCAGAGCCTTGATGTAGCCCCATAATAACTGAAAAATGCTCAGAGTCGCCTCCTACTGTCATTACCCGTGTATTAGCTCCATCATACATGTCCTGAATCGCCATAATGTAAGGAACCGCCACACTTTTTGCCTCCAAGCATCTCCAGAGAACTTCTTTAGGAACTTTGTCATATGTTTTCTCTAGGTCAATAAAAACCATGTGCATGTCCTTCTTCCTATATTTGTACTGTTCCACCAATCGCCTAACAATGTGTATAGCTTCTGTAGTAGAATGACCTGGCATGAACCCGAACTGGTTGTCAGAAACAGACACTGACATCCTCACCCTCGCTTCAATCGCCCTCGCCCACACTTTTATGGTATGACTCAGTAATTTGATACCCCTATAATTGTTACAACTCTGGATATCACCTTTGTTCTTATACAATGGAACTACCGTACTCCACCTCCACTCATCCGGCATCCTCTTCGCCTTAAATATAACATTGAACAACCCAGTCAACCACTCCAAACCTGCTCTCCCCACACACTTCCAAAATTCCAACGGAATTTCGTCAGGCCCTGTCGCTCTGTCCCTACTCATCTTACTCATAGCTCCCACGACCTCCTCCACCTTGATACGCCTGCAGTACCCAAAGTCACGGTGACTCTTGGAATGCTCCAATTCACCTAGCACTATATCCCGATCCCCTTCTTCATTCAGAAGTTTATGAAAGTAAGTCTGCCATCTCTTCTTAATCTGGGAATCTTCCATCAATAATCTACCATCGTCGTCCTTGATGCTTCTCACTTGGTCCAAATCCCGAGCCTTCCTCTCTCTCAACTTGGCCAGCCGGAATAGATTTTTCTCCCCGCCTTTTTCCCCCAGTTCCTCATACATACGATCATAAGCTGCACTCTTAGCCTCCGTGACCGCCAGCTTAGCTTCCTTCCTAGCTACCTTATACCTCTCCATGCACGCACGCCTCTCATCATCACCTATGCTCCCCACTAACTTCAGGTACGCCGCTTTCTTCGCTTCCACTTTACCCTGAACTACTTCATTCCACCACCAGTCTCCTTTGTGCCCGACAGCGACGCCCGTCGAGACCCCTAACACCTCTTTCACAGCCTCCCTTATACAGTCTGCTGTCGTGGACCACATGGTGCTCGCGTCACCACTGCTCCTCCAAGCTCCCATAGCCGATAACCGTCCCTCTAACTCTTGGGATTTATCCTTAGTTAAGGCTCCCCACCTGATTCTCGGTCTTCCTCGAGCAGACCTTTTCCTCCTCTTCAACATAATATCAACGTCCATTACCAAGAGCACATGCTGCGTCGTGAGTATCTCACCTGGAATCACCTTGCAATCCTTGCACAACCCTATGTCACACCTCCTGAGGAGGAGATAGTCAATCTGAGTCTTCGCCGCCACATTTTGAAAAGTAACTAAATGCTCCTACCTCTTCGGAAAGGTAGAGTTCGCAATCACCAACCCAAAAGCCTTAGCGAAGTCCAACAACGAGGTACCTCCTCCGTTCATCTCCCCAAAACTGAAGCCTCCATGCACCTCGCCATGACCACCTGCGGTCGACCCAATATGACCATTGAAATTCCCTCCTATGAATAGCTTCTCAGCAGGCGGAACCTGGCGCACAATCTTATCCAACCCCTCCCAGAAACGCCATTTAACCTCCTCATCTAGGCTCCCATGCGGCGCATAGGCGGTAACGATGTTTAGGGTGCACTCTCCAACCACCAACTTAATAATCATCAATCTATCATTCACTCGTCTAACCTCAACCACTGACTCTTTAAGTTCCCTATCCACCAAGATACCCACTCCATTCTTACCCTTCTGGACTCTTGAGTACCAATGTTTATAACCGTTCGCGTCCCTCACCCTCGACCCTACCCAGCTTGTCTCTTGGACGCACGCTATATTGACCCTCCTCTTCTGGAGGATCTTTGCCAACTCTATA